AATCCATAGTGTGACAATCCTGTGCTATAGACTGTTGTTAAATAGAAAAGATAAAAGAAATCCATAGTGTGACAATCCAGTGCTATAGACTGTTAATAAAACACCAATTAGATAGCTGTACCAATTTTCAATGGGAATCATTAAGACCTGGAAACCTTCATTTGAAGAATGGCTTAGCAGAATTGATAGTTGGGGAAAATTTATGGCAAAGTGAACTTGACTTGTATGACTTTTATAATAAGTAGTTTGGTATTATTTCATGATCTAAAACCTTTAAATTGGTTTACAGAATAGATGGTCAAGGATTTTTTTGAAGAATTAAACAGTGAGAGAATACCAGTCACATGGACTTGGTTCCAGAACAAATCAGCTTAGAACATGCCTTGATTCTTCCTAACATAGCTAGGAGAATTTTAATACCATATGTAGCCCTCATGAGAGATGAAACCTGCCAAAACATATGTCAGTTACATATTTCTTTTTCCAAAAACATATTATTTGATAATTAAATGTTTTCGCCTTTTCTTCAAAACTTTATCCTGAGACTTGATTTTAGGATTCTGCTGGCTTTGCCTTTGATTTTTGATTGAGAACAGTGTATCAACACTCAGACAGAGACAAGTAATTCCTTAAAATATTGTGTGCTTTTTTATTTCTTTTCCTCGTAGATCATATCATAAATGATATGAGTTGCTTGTTTTCGTTAAGAACGATTTGGGAGCAAAGTATGTTTACTGAAAGCTGAAGACATGATTTTTAAGTATTGCATGCTCCTAACTCCATCACAGCTTCTTAAGAAGATAAACCTTACTTTGTATATACAGGCAAAGGAGATTGTGATGCAGGAGAATGTAGTTTCTGCTGAGAAGTTGGCGGATGAAGTGGTTGTGGAACATTGTAATATAATTGAGCAAAGCTTTTGGGAAGCACATCCTTGGATCCTTGACAAGAAGCCCAAAAGATAGCTGATATGGTATTCATGCTCATATCCCATGCTGCTGTAAGATAGCTAATATGGTATTCATGCTCATATCCCATGCTGCTGTTTCACTTTTCCAGGAAAATTTTTAGGCGACTAAAACTATTGGAACCTCTATTTTGGTCCCTGTTTTTATTAAACTGATGGTAAAGACTATAGATTATGGGAACTTGGATTAGTATCAAATCACTATAAAATTTTTAGTGACTTCACAGATTGTTATTGAGATTCTTTTATCATTTTACCCATATTTTGTTATTTAATCACGAATTATGTTATTTCTTTTTTCTATTTAGTGACAAAATTGATATCGGAA